ACTATATCAGATGTTTCAGGGTATTCATAAAGTTTTTCAGTACTATATCAGACAGTGTGTCACCGCTATTCATAAGATTTCCACTGGCCAATTCTTTGAGAATTAGATGGCCCCTTCCTTCTTCCAAGTCTGTCTTAGACTGGAAGCTCCACTGAAACCTGTTCACCATGGGTAACCTTGTTGGCATTTGAAACACCAGTGGCATAGCCTCCAGCCTCACAAGCCACCACACAATGACAAACTGACAGACAAGTTCGTCTTCCTTAGCTGTTCCAAACTGCTCCATTCCCAGTTCCCAGCCTGCCCTACCTGTTCTGGTCCTCCAAAAGGCATCTGCCCACCTATTGGTATGGATCAAATTGATAAAAGCAATTCAAATGATTAGATTAGATTAGATAGAATCATTAAGGGCCAATAAATTTGTATTAATGTGGGGGGAACTCAGTAAAAGAAGATGATAATGGTTGCACAACTCGAAGAATGTAATCAATATCACTAAATGATCCAAAGAGAAACTGTTGGACTGGTGTATGTTTTGCTGCAAAAGACCTCTTTAAAGTGTTAAAAAGCAAATATGTCACCTTGAGGAGAAAGGTGCACCTGACTTAAGCCATGGTATTTTCAAGCACCTCATATGTATGTGAAAGATGAAAAATGAATAAGGAAAAGCAAACAAGAATTAATGCATTTGAATTCTGGTGTTGGCAAAGAATACTGACAATACCATGAACTGCTAGAAGAAGGAACAAATCCATCTTAGAAGAAGTACAACCAGAATGCTCCTTAGAAGTGAGGATGGCAAGACTTTGTTTCTCATACTTTGGACACGTGATCAGAAGGGGCCAGTTCCTAGAGAAGGACATCATGCTTGGTAGAGAGCCACGAAAAATAAGAACACTCTAAATGAAGTGGATTCACAGAGTGGCTCCAACAATGGGATCAAGCACAGTAATTATTGTGAGGATGGTGCAGGACAATGCAGTGTTTCATTCTATTGGACATGTAGTCACTATGAGTCTGAACCAACTCAATGGTATCTATGTTTTGCTGTGTATATTCTCAACAACAGCAATATTTTTTAAGACATTACTATGATAATGTTCAGATTCTCTAGCTCCTTTCTGATTTTTGTATAACCTCTTATTATGATGGTGAGTTTTTCTATTTCCCCCTTTAATTCTATCAATTTTTGCTTCATGCATAGGTACATGTATTTGTAGGGCCACAACCATTTTTGGTTACTATATTTTCTGACCAAACAACCCTTTTATCACTATGAAATGTTCATCTTTATTTCTGGTGATACTCCTTATTTTGAAGTCTACTGTAATATTAATATTAGGATTTTTTATGCTTACATGTTATATCATTTTCTATCCATTTACTTTAAATCTATCTGTATCTTTATATTTAAACTGAATTCCTTGGGTCTTAATTTTTTCCTCTACCTTTAATTGATTATTTAGTCCCAAACCAAACTCACTGCCATCGAGTCGGATCTGACTCATAGCCACCCCTCCTTAGGTTTCTGAGGTGGTATCACTTCAGAAGTAGATAGTCCCAATCTTCCTTCTGAGGAGAAAGCAGCACACAAGCCACCACAGGACGACAAACTGACAGGCAAGTTCATCTGTCAGGAGTGCTGGTGGGTTTGAACCAACAGCCTTCTGGTTAGCAATCAAATGCCTTAGGCACTATGCCACCAGAGCTCCCATTATTACCTCACTTACATTTAATGCAATTATTAATATAAATAGATTTAGGTCCACCACTCTGCTAATATTGGGAGCTCTGGTAGCATAGTGCCTAAGGCACTTGACTGCTCACCAGAAGGCTGGCGGTTCAAACCCACCAGCCACTCCTCAGAAGGAAGGTTG